TTTAATGTTCGGCTCCGCCCGAACTTAGACTTTCTTACTTGTTCTCCTTTCGTTTGCTTGTACTTAGTAGGGGGAATAATCCCCTTCAAGTTGTAATCTCCTTGTTCCAATAGGCATAAGCTGCAGTTAAGACTCGGTGGAAATAAACTACTGAATACAATTTAAAAAATGTACTACTTTAAGGTTCGTCTGCATTAATAAATGTGTGAGTTTTACAATCAGTTTATAGCAAATTTTACATTTTAATTTCATGGTATGTTTAATTGGTTTAAGTTATTGAATTTTTACTCATATTCATAAAAGTTATGTCTCAATGCGAATCCCGGGATTACTTAAAAAAAAATCCCGAAATCCCGGGATCACAATTTTCCGCATATTTTGGCATCCCTAATACATACATATATATGTATGTACACACAACAGCACTTTTCCACAAATTTCACTAACACTAGCTATGTATAGTACACTCCTTGAATTCGTGCTTTACTTTCGCAGCTCTCCTTATTTTGTCAAATTAATGTTGACTAACTGCGTAAGTGACATTTTTGTGCTTCAGTTTAATTAATTACTGTAATTGGTGTCGTGACCTTTTCAATTTTCACATGACAGTAATACTTTCACTCACTTTAAGTATAATCTTAAGTTGAACTTAACCTACGAAATTTACCTTGTAAATCGACGCGAAATTTGTTGACTAGCTTATTTGGCAGGGCCGCTGATTCCACGCGACATTCAATGTCCCGCGCTAAATCGTCGCGTGACAGCTCGAGCGTTAATTCCAGTCTCGCAGTAAAGAGGCCATCAGTTTCGACGTACGAAGCGGAATCTATTCAAATGAAAAAATTGTAGAAACGTTTTTATCAAATCATACGCATAAATATTTGAGTTGCTTATTATCGATTTTCTAGTTTTATATTCAGGGTCCTAAATATGGCCCCTTTTTCAAAATATATATAAAATATAATATATAAATAAAAAAAGATTTATAAATATGAACGAACTCGGATTTTGGTCCCAAATATCTCGACTTCTGCGCCACCTATCGGTAAACTAAGCAAACTAAATCAGACGATATTTGCAGGATTTGGAAATATTTCGACCCGTGCGCCAGCTACCGGCTAAATTTTGTGTGAAGTTATTTTTTCCATGTAACTAAGGTACGTTCCAAATATGAACAAAATGGGGCTGTAAACACTTGCGCCATCTATCAGATTAGTTTATATTTCATATTGCATTGTCCTTGGGTTCTGGGTCAAGTCTCCGGGTCATCAGGAAATTCGTCAAAAATTTATTGCAAGATTTTACCCAAGCAAACATTCGTACATATATGTATACATACTAGGTCATTAAACCCCCGAGAATTTTAATTATCCCGGGATCAAGGGGTTTTTCAAGAATTATAGGAAGAACAATAAAGAGATATAAAAACTTTTTTTTTTATCAAACAAGACCAAACGGCATATGCTAAACAAATACTTGTACTTCATAAAACAACAACAAATATAAAGCATCTAGCCATTGTCCGCGAGACTAGACTTTATATTGTTACAAGAGTAACCAGCTGAGAAAAACATTTTTCTGACTCTACGCAAAACCACCCCAACAAAATAAAAAGAAGACCAACTCTACCACATTTTAAAAGTTTCTTTCAAGTGCTACCAGATTTTTAGTTTTTGCACAGTTCTTGCATAATCCCCGAAAAAAATCGGTAATCGCTTTTAGTGGTAACGTGTACTAGAAGTCATAGCGTTATAATGCCTTCGAATTCTTTCGCTTCTTTTTGGCATTGCCGGTAATGCAAAGTAGAATGTCCTACAATATTTTATTTGTTCCGCTTCTTTGCTTCATTTCAGGGAATGCAAAGTAGAATATCCTACAATATTTTGTTTATTTCGCTTCTTTGCTTCATTTTGGGGAATGCAAAGTAGAATGCTGCATCGTAGTCAGCTGAAAAATAGAATGAATATCCAAAAATTCTTTTTCTACCGTTACTTTCTGTGCAAATTTGTCTCGCATAAAAATCATGTTTTGCTTTGTTCAATTTGCAGCCAAGTTGAAGTCAGCCAATGAAGTGAAGTACATGAGTGATTTATAAACTAGTATGTGCCTACCAGTTCGACATTTTCGAAGAACTTAAGCGTTCAGCGACATCTGCCTTTGAATTACCAAAGCCTAAAATAAAACGCAATTAATTGCTTTTCTTACAAATGTCGGCTGTGGCGTCACGTGAAGACTACTGGTTCTGATTCTGGGATCGCAGGTTCGAGGCCGCTTGGAGGTGGTTAAGATTTTTAAAGTTAGATAATTATTTCAATTTAAATATAAATAACAAACTTAAAAATCTAGTTGCATTACAAAAAAAATAAACAAATATATGGGAAAAAATACTTGTGCCATAAAAAAAATAGATAAAAAAAAAATATTTTTTTTTTAATTACATTTAAGAATAACAAAAAAACCCTAAATAAAAAATATAAATAAAAGAAATATTATAAAAAAAAAAATTAAATAAAAAAATTTTCCCTGCGCCAGGGCTTGAACCTGGTACCTCAGGCATATCACGCGAGTGCTTTGCTCTGTCGGCCATTGCGACTGTTGGACCGCCGCGAGCAAAAAGGCATACTAATACTTTTCATGGGGGATGAATGGGCAGACTATCTCATCTACTGGTATGATGCTACTAGTATTTCTACTAGTAGATGCTGATGCATAGCCTGACAATTGACATCTCGTAGGACATCGTAATGTTAAAAATACCAGTCGCTAACATTGAAAAAGGATAGAACGTGAACTAGTTGGGCTGAAAAGCAAACTGTTAGAATTCTAGTTCACAACTAGTAGCTTTCCCTGCAGGGTAGATATGTGGCATTTGGCAAAACATTAACAGGCCAGAGTAGGCGAATAAATAGTAAGATATTCAAATAGTCGGGAGTGAAGGGACAAGAAGCTGTAGCAATGCACTTGAAAACTTGAAAACAAATATAGTGCATACGAATGCATGCTTTCTGCAGTGGATGGGTCATATGTATGTATGCCCTTCTAACTTGCTTCCGTAGTTCCAGCTGTCAACTTGAGTACGTTTCTTCATTTCGGTATTTTCCCTATTTCAAGCGCCAATTCATAAGTCAAGTCTTTCGGCGCATCCTTCCTGCTGTTGGCCTGTCACAGCTGCAGCACGATGGGAAGGGGCAGAGGGGCAGAGTGCAGTGTAGCATGTTAGAACATCGAATATAACTGAACAAAAAATATGCATTGCGAATCAGTGGCAGCAACCGACTCTTCAACTTCATAGCGATTGCCTGTCCCAGCTAGATTTGTCTGGTTGCTGGTGGCACTGTATAAAGTATATTTGTTTGTGTTTTTGGCTTAGTTTTGCAGCGTTTTGTACACTGACGTGGTTGCAGTTGCAAGATTGCACTACATAGTCGGCGCGCTGATGTTTTGCTTGTTTAGTTGACAGTTCGGCTAACTGGTAAGTGTGGCATGCAACTTCAGCTTGCAACAAGCCACTTTCGCAGGCGCTCGAGTGCAACTGTGTGATTGCACGTCTCTTGTGAAGCTCTGTTTTATGCACACATCAACACACATTCATACCTAGTAGATATGTATTTATCTACATATATACACCCTGCAGAAAAAATATCAATTGATAAAAAATAACCCACTTATAGTTATGTAGCCTTTTCTATAAAATATATAACTTGTAGTTAGCTACAAAAAGCTAACTTGAAACTAGTTGACAAGTAATGCAGGAGTAATACAGGAGATTTTTTTCTTTAAACGCTTTTCTATTTAAATGTCCTGCACTTCGCAAATACTTTTTCGAATTGAGGACAAATAAAAGGAACATCAAAATTTCATATTATCAGTTTGAAGTTATGTCTGACGAAGTTCGAATATGGGACCACCCTCAGCAGAAAATGTAAACAAATATGAGATGTAATAAAATAAATAAATAAAGATTAAAAAAATCAAAAAAAAAATTTGAATTTCCTATTGATATTTAATGTCCAAAATTAGTTAGTTACAAGTTAGTTACATCAAATGCAAAAGGTAACACCCTATGACTACATCTAGTGCAGAGGTAACCACCCGTCAAAGAAAATATCCAGATAATAGTGACTTTTAGCTCCATCATTAAAGTTAGCTTATAGTTAGATACATTTCCTGCAGGGCAACGACTGTGGTGTAGGGTGTGCGTGCACATGCGATGTCGGTGTGTTGCATAAATTGAAATTGCCACAAAAGCGCAAATTCTGTATTCAAAAAGCATAAAATGCAGCAACAACAATACAAGCATATAGCACTATTGCGAATAACCGAGCAGTGTTGCATTTACAATTGCGTTGCCTCCCAGCTGCTAGCTGCAGTAGTATGTAGTTGTGGCATTGTTGCACAAATCTTGCTGCAATAAAACAAACAGATTCTGTAGTTGCCACTTGGATTACTGCAATTTTGCTGTAAGTTTATATATATATGTATGTACACATAAGCCTGTGTGAAGACGCATGTGTTACTGGCGTAGTTGGTGTGACGTAGTGCCAGTGCTCCTTAAAATACACATGGAAACTTACAATGAATGCTTCAGTCTAGCTCCTCACAAGCAGGTTCTTTATGCTGACGTTGCAATGTACAACAAAATGTGGCACAAATATGTCACATGCATTCTATCAACATTACTTAAGTTGCAATTCAACCACTCCTGCATCCTCCTCAAATGCTTGGCTATATTTTTGGCACACATCACCTTCGTACTTCTCTGTGTTTGGCCTAACAACGCCCAATAGGTACTAATTTCGAAATGGCCGGGATGGACGGTATCGGGAAGTTAAAAAAAAGGTTCGAGCGGGACAGTACCAAAAATTCTTTCCCGACATTCCCGATTAAATTCAATATGATGAAGATATGCACATACGTAGAATAGTTGAGAAAACTATATATATGTCTATATTTAATTGCAGTGCCACAGGAGATCGTTTCAAAATATTTCAAACTTATTTCCTTATAAACTGTTTTAACAGCCATTTAATATAAAATATTGCTTCCAGCAGACTCTTCTACGAGTAAAACTATCAACCAATTTCTCTAACGAAAAACGTATATCTATTTAAAGTTACTTACCATACTTGGTTATATTTTTCAATTTGATCGCATGCGAGGCACAAGAGAAGTAAACGCTCACCGTATACATTGTATGTCAATCGGAACTTGTTTCAGGATGCCTTAAGATGTATATAAAAAAAAAATAGATCAAGAGTTGACGTGTGAGTCAAAGAAACCATTTTTTTTCACTCGTTCCTCGTTCCCAAAATTTTTACCATATGGGTCAGTAAAAGTTAATTTGTAATTTCATTTCTTTTAACAACAATTTAAAATTAGGATTTAATGAAACACAACTGATTTTAAATTGTTGACCTCAACTAGTTTGCAGTTTTTTAAAAGATTTTTATCCAGTGTTAAAGAGTAACTGGAAAAAATCTTTTCAGCTATATTTCTGTCTCTTTTAAATGAGTGGCAGCACTGCAAATTTACAATTTGGTTACGAGTCTAGTACAAACTTAATATACATATGTACCTAAAAGGACGGTTGTAGAACAAAACTAGATGAAAACATGATTGTATGTATTTTGGATTACATCTTCCTTTAACAGATTTTGTACCATATACCATATACATATGTACATATGTATGAATTTAAGTGGAAAAAACTGAAATAAAATATCGTCATTTTGGGAGAAAAATCGTCATAGCGTCATTGGGCTAAAATAACATCAAAATGACCACGAAATCCTCAATTCGGCAAGCTTGTGAGTACTCAGCCGAAGG